AAATAACATTTTATAGATGCAAAATTCCGAAAACATGTACACAGATGAAATTAGAATAGAATTAGTTAAGCTGGCGATTAATAATAGAATACGACCCGCATTTATTAGTCAAACAACCAGTTAGTTAGTGAGTAATAATTAATACCCCCCAACCCTAGTTGAAGTATAAACAATAAGAAGAGACATGATGAACTTATTCAACGTTAAACATTGGAAAATAAATCAATATCATAACAAAACAAGCATAATCAGTCACCTTATTATAATGAATTAATCGTTAAAATAGTATTAAATTAAGTCCTTTCTCTATAAAAGTCGACTTGTAAAACTGTTTAATCTGTTGAAAATGCATTGTTTTTGTTCAGTTTGAAATGGATTTATAAGACTTTTGATAATTTCTGTAAAACTGATCAGATAATGATTGAGTGCTCGATAAATACTTTAAGAAAGTAAGTCTAACACACCAAAAACTGATGAAATTTTCTTTTAGAATGGATCCAAAAAAGATATGTAACTAGTACCTATTATAATTCATTCTACAAGTAATATCAGGAAATTTTCTAGATTCTTATCAATTTTTCGAGTATATAGAGCAGTTGTATATGTCAGTTACGAGTAGATATTGTTAGAAAAGTAGATATATTATCACCGTTGTTATTTCTTTTTTTTGTTGCTTAGTAATTGTATGAGAGCTAGAAAAGTGAAGTTTTAAGATTGTTTGTGTGTCATTGTTGGTCTTTCACAATCACGTACTACTTACTTGCTGTATGGTGCACAGTGTAAGAATATTGAAAAGAAATCGAACTAAGGGTAATACATATCTACTAATTTATTCAATGTTGATTAAACTTTTATTGGAATTTTGTGACGTTCCGTAAGATTACTATGCTGCACTAAGGAACGCACTTCAACTTGGAATAAAATGAGGTGTAATACTATTCTAGGACTGAGATACTAAGAAATATTGTTATTCTGTGCACATTCATAAAGAAAAAAGCATATAACTCATTTATCGAGTACAGGTTTATGTACACAACTTTGCGCTAAACCGAAATAGATGAAGCGCAGTTTCAAACCTACAATCTAAAATGATTCAATCATTAATTTAATGCTCTTATAGTCAGTTGAACTTATACATATGTGTGTCCAAACCCAATTTGCTTGGTAAATGCAATGGACTGTTGATGCTGAAGGCTTTATAAAACCATGAGTTACGTCCACTCAGCAACGATGAATTTAGATGAATAATCTACCATTACCAGATAAATACACTATGTTTAATCATTTACAACTGGTTCGGATTGAATACCGGTCTAATTTCGTATCCAACTTTATTCAATGCTAATTACTCTGGTAGAAATCATCCACATGACATCATCAAGAAAATTATTAAGATGGAAATAAATTACGTATCTAGCATAATAACATCAATTTGAACTTTATTTAATGATAACCATTTTCGAGATTTTCATCTGACGGTAATCACTAAATTTTTTTGCGAAGACTTAAATGCAACATATGCAATATGAACTTGTGTTAGTTATACCGTTACATATGGAGAAAAAGCATAATGCATTTTGAAATTGACAACTAATCACAATTGATTGATCACTGGGTGGTGATCAATGTCATGCTTGTCTAGTCCTTATTAGTGCAGATCGAATGCTATCGATCATGTTGCAATGTGGCCACCAGTCTAGGTACACCTTGCTGACGAGTGCCAAGTAGCACGAAACCCGGGTCCAGGGTTTCCTGTTGACTACCTCCAACCACCATCTAAATCTCAATTGACAACTAATGCTTTAAAATTATAATCTATATTCCTTACCAATAACTAATTCAAAATATAATTACTGAGTTAAATAATTATTTTCGTGAGACAAGTTAACTAAAACTGAAATGAAAAAAACAGTCAATCACGTCAAGAATAAAAAGAGATATGAAAGATCATGTTAAATAAGACGGATATAAAATGTGATTGTATTGTCAATAAACTTTAGAAAAAGAATTAAAAAAACACGTATTAAAGTTTAATGTCACATGCAATTTACTAAATATGAAGATGAATAGAAAAGCAACTTATAACAGTGTCAAGGGTCCATATCAATAAAAAATGTTTGAAATCTTTTAAAGAAAGCCAGAACAAATATTGATGCAGAATAATATGAATTCGTGGTTTCTCATCAGCCACTTACAACTAAAAATGTATTAGAAATATAATGAATTCATATTATTCTGCATCAATATTTGTTCTGGCTTTAGTTAAATTCATAAAGGGAACTAATTGCATGAAATCCTTTGAAACAGATCATTAGAAATGCCAAATATCATACAGTAATGAATTTTTGTCAGTATCACATAAAAGAGTAAAAGAGATTATTGATCTGAATAAATGTTATATACTGTACAATAAGTGATTTACAATAATAATTATTAAATTTTTTTTCCTGAATTATAAGAATTTCATAACTACTTATCATCATTTAGAGTAATACGACTAATTAGAAGTCAGATACATGTATAAATCCATTAAACTAAACTCATTAATCAATATAGACAGTTAGACCTGAATAAACCATGAATAATTAAAATTGAGTATTTAATATCAAGTTTACAGAATGGATAAAGAATTTAGTCATTAACGATGTAGAACTTGGCATATACATGCATTGGTTTAAGTTGTCATATTATATCAACAAAACCAAATGAAATTATCAAGATGACTACCAAAGCAATTGATAATACAAAACATTAAGTATTGAGAATACGATCCAAGAAGAGAAAATCAAATTGCAGATTAAACAAGGGTATGAGATTATTTTTTTAAAAACAAAGGAATCGAAGGGTAAACAAAGAAGGAATGCTTCGGTGTCAATGTTATCGATTCTGAGTCATTATATAGTTTAGTAGTTTGATGCCTAGTAATATCTACTTCTCACCGATCAATCATTTTGGAAAATAGTTATGGTCAATAAAGCCAAAACTATTTTTAAAATGACATAAAATGAAGTCAGATTTATTGTAAGGATAATCCGAATAGAAAACTTCTATATAGATTGTTTGTTTTAGCTCAATGTAAGGATTTTAATCTAAATTCTTGGTTTTCTGATGAGCTTTCATTTGACCCTTTAGCTACTATAATACGATATACTATTCTTAATTTATTCCCAATCTATTAGTTACAGTCTCCCACATTCACAACCACTTTTGGCCTGTTTCTGTTTAATCATTGTTTTTCATTTTATGGTATGATAGGTCTATTCTGCTTGTATATAAACTACGTATGTCTGGAATATATTATTCATACAGCGCACGCTGATATTCTGTTCTGGACTCAACGGGCAGGTCTAGGCGGGAAGCTACTATATTGAGGGCCAATAAAGGTTAAGAGTTGACGCAAGATTGCTAGTAGTGGTTAACATATCATTGGTTTAATACAGGAACAAGATCATAGAAGTTGGTATTCTGATTAGCGATTTTGTCACTTGATAATTGACAGAGACAGAAGTCATAACAGAATGAGCGAGGTAGGTAACAAACATAAATTAATATTTGATTATTTATACCTACAAACCGTTGCTCACAAAGATTAAAAGTATCAGGTTGGTAGTACTCTGACAATGCTTGAGACAACATTAAACAGAGATGATGGATTCGGTTGATAACATTGTGAATCTTAACCAAGTTATACACTACGCATGCCTAGTTAACGTTTGACATGACATCGCATGCTGGTCAGCATAGGACTACGCTAGCAATACACAAAAGGTGATCAGACGAAGATATAACATCCTATCACTGTGATGTAATCCAAGTGTCTGAGGACAGTAAATCACTATGCAGACGAAATCAATTTTCGTTTCTCACCTCTTTATGGATTTGAAAATTCCCTTTAAATTTTAAGTAATTATTGCACATTGACTATTTAACCAGCGCAACTATAGAATTTCCCTTAAAACAATTGAAATTATAATAAAATAATGTATCCCTCCTCTTGGGTAAATCAATCAAACAGCACCTGTTTCAATAATTAATTAAAATTCATCTGTTTTCGTTCATTGTTTCTATTTGTTTTGTGTTGGAAAAAACATAAATATATCCACAATGAAAAACTAGAACGTATGGACATTGATTAAGTCACATGCAATTAGTTCATATATAGGCGATTGAGATAAATCTTTCAAGACAAAGGAGGAAATATGTACTATAACATACAATTAACTTATTCACCAGTTACTTGAGTATGAGCCATACTCTAATTGTGAAGTCTAATGATACTATTCGGTTGCACAAACTAAAATAGACGAGGAAGGGGTTCGAACCTGGGACTCAAAAGCTAAATCTGAGCGCCTTAACTACTACATGTTTTCATTTTAAAAAATGATGGGAGCAATCTTTATATGAATTACTTATTACCTAAGAATAAATAATCAATCTAGGTCGTATAATTATTCAATTAAGTCACTCTAATGGAATGATAGCAAAATCTGTGAATAGCAGTTATTCTTTTGGATTTTGGTATGTTGAAAGAATTTCAGTTAAAAGAATAATGGGATCTAAGTTAAGTATTATGTCAAAAATGGAGTGTGAAGAGAGTTTGAGTATGTCGATATCCAACAATAATTGGATTTTAACTTAAAGTTGATGATAATTAAATAAGGTGAATCATATGTGCTAGATTTTGTATCCAAATGCTAACAAAATAAGTATGTGTTGACGGATTTACAGAAAATAAAACTTGGGATAATCTTAGTTGCTTTAATCACACAATATTAACTACTTGAATAAATATGGTTTGATAAGTCTGTTTTGTGTTTCTCGCACAGGTATAAAATTCTGGTTCTTTCTCTAACGTCCTACTTAAAATGATTTATAGTTCTGAGTAATTTTTAAATGTTTCAAAATATTTACACTTCCACATAAAAGATAAACTGACCACAAATTATATAATTTCTCGGTTTCATAAAAAAAGAATAACTTTGTACACACAGTAAACTTACCATAGATGATCACGAGGATAAGCCATATTGGAAAATTGATATTTCAAATGTGATACCCATTCCGAAGGAGACATACGACCTGTATCTACATCTTGACGGTTGATAATCATCGGTTGACATTTAGAATGTAGCATATCTACCTCGTCTTCGTTATCATCCAATTGATTGCGACCACTATCAGATTTTAGCCTACAAGTTGGAGTTGGTATGAGACCATGAAATCGTCCAAAAAATATTGATGGCCCTGGTAATATCGCTGTACAACCAGTTGTTGTAGAGTAAGAGCCAGCGGAATTATCATTATTATTATGACCATAATATTTATTATCACCACAATTACGTGATTGATGTTCTGGTAATGTACTTGTATCATTTATCTCATCAGCATTTAGTGAATCTTGTTCATTCAATCCTAGTGAATCATCTTTTTTTAATAACTTCTCTTCATCTGATCGCCAATTATGTACAGAGGAGTTCATATTAGATGATGATGCTGAAAATGAAGTTCCTTCAGCTATCTGTTCACGTGTCAATACAGATTCATCTTCATAAAAGGCCACAAAAGCTATACATAGTATATTTACTGACATACTACATTTTGTAGCCACTTGAGCTGAATCACGATTACTATCAGGTTTTGGTAAGTAGAGATGATCTATTAACAAAAAAAGTGGTTACAATTAAGAAAAGCTCCATGAAAACACATTAATACAAAACATAAAATGAAGTGAATTCTGAAAATTAATTATCTGATTTGCCAAAATTCATACAAACCGATGGTTACAGACATTGTTATGCACTAGAATTAAGTTGATCAGTCAGTTGTGAGCAACGTAGAACCTGGTATACATGTGTATATCGGTTCCAGTTATCACACCTCGTTAGTATAGTGAAATAAAATTATCAGAGTAAACTCCATAGCAGTAGAGGTAGTAACAATATTAATGATGAAAGAAAAGACTAGGCAAAGAAGATACGATTCTAGAAGAAAATATAGATTAGTGCAGTAGAAAAGAAATTATGAGGTAATTTAGAAGGTTCGAAACAAAGTGAACGTCATTCATTTGTCGTTATAGAAGATTAACAGATTAACAGATCACAATGATTACTAACACATAATTCGACGGCTTGCATTAAATCTTAAGTTTTAAAAAACTGAAAAATGTTTGTTTATCAAATCAATCGCCCCCAAATGCCCTGGTACGGCCGAGAGTGAGGAGAGTCCGCTCTCCTCGAAATGCTCTCACATGACCACGCGTATATAGCCTCTGCCAGGGAAGTCCTACTCATTGCCTTCTCGTGGCGGGGGTGTTGTTTGCGAACATGAGAGGACGAAAAGCGGATGTCCGGCGCTTTAACCGGATCACAAACTAATGGTGCACATGGGCTCCAGTATCCTGCGGGAACAAATGACGTATGAACCAATTGTTGGTCACCGGCTTCCACGGGACTGCATCTCCTCACGATGCTCCACTGCCTTGTGGACCAGACCTTTAGGTCTAAGGCTCGGAGTGTGGCCCCTTAAGAGAACCAACTGTTTCAGTTTGGGCACCCGGGCAGTATCACAGCCCTCACACATATCGAATGAGATTTGTGTGGCGCATATGTATTTGGTGCTTCCTTGTACCAATATCTTGTGTTAAAATAAATAAAAATAATAATAAATTATTATTATCAAGTCAATCAGTTAGCTATAATGTAGGACCAGGTAAATATATGCATCGGTCCAAGTTGCCACAACTCAATAGCACAACAAGGTCAACACCCAATTCATACAAATAGTTATTTAAATGGTAGTAATATATTAAAGAAAGATTGCATATAAGGATATAATACATGAAGAAACAATTAGTTCACAGAAAGAAACATATAAAGCAATTGTAATCTCACAGTTTAAGGGAAGACAAAATGTGTATACACCGACGCCACTGTGATAGATTCTGAGCCATGTCACCCAGAGTCTCCAACCATTGGTTGCGATAGTCGCGCGGAACCCAACCAAGTAGTCTAAATCTACTAACATGGCTCAGACCAGAGGTTAGTGACTCGAAGGACTGATGCCACGTTTTGGTTTGGCCGTCCTAACTTTCTTCAAACCGTCTCTGACACTAGTCAGTTGGTCAAATCATATTTTATTTAAAAAATAACGAAATACTATCAAACAACCATCGCGTTAGTACAGAAGCTAAGCGGAGTTGCAAATTAGACAAGAAATGGCAGTTAAACGAAAAACCAGCACTGAAATCAATTTAAATATTCAGGATTCCTCAGTATTGATAAAAAGTAAAATTTACCATTTCAACTATTTAATAATTATATTAGCCAATAATCCACGAGAAATACAGGTATTACTTACGAAGGTCTGTTATTTTCTATTTTCACACGGTAAATAAAATAGATGATAATGAGTCAGTAAAACGGTAACTAGAAAGATTTGAGACTAGATAATGATAATAAACATGATATCAATACTGTCGCTGTTAATAGTGAACTGACTATATTAAAGATTCTAATAAATTAGAATAAGTGATTAAAAGCAAACGCTTTGTTTAATTTAAAATCAAAACAAAATACTATTCACTCCATGGTGAAATTCCAAAGAGTATTTTCTGTGAAAACTTTTAAAATAATAAACGGGTAAATATTAGTTAACTAAGATTTTAAAAGTGAAAAAGCAACTCACCAAAATGTTGGTTTGGAATGGCATTATCTCCATACATCGTGGTAGTTGACACATCACTCAAACAGGAGCGAAATAATTCACTATCTGAATAAATATAAAATGATTGTTTAGTTACAAGAATGAACGGATAATTCAGATATTTTTCCTGTTAGGTTTAATACTACTGTTTCGAAAAATAGTAGCTTTAACAAATAGTTTTCATTATCTTGGATAGATGGTGTGCATATATATGAATAGATCATTTATATAACTTACTTAACATTGTAGAGGTTAAATTTTGATGGTTGATTGGGCTCGGTGTTAAATCTAAATCAATTAGATGAGCTTCTCTAGGTTTATTACGCAAAGGCGAATGGGGTTTTTGATAATTTCTATGGTCTGAATAATCACCAATATGTTTATTCTGAAGGATAGGAAATAGAATGAAAAAAAATGAGTGGGTGACTCACTGATCATCACACAAGTGTTATCTTAGATGACAAAAACAATAATAAAACTGATAAACGTGTACAGATGTATGAACATTTACAACAGGGTGAAGTGGGAGGTTGAATTTGTTAGCTATAGCTTAATTTATTGGAGTGTGAATGACTATAGTTAATTTGTCACAAAGATATCAATGTTTAATTATTAGTTGAGCTGCCTATTGAAATACATTTAAAGCCCTTTTAAAATATGTTCTCAAATGACTTGAGGATTGAAGTGACTATAAACTAAGCAACTAACTTCAAACTCACAGAATGTAAAATGATGAAACCTTGACAAATCTATTAACAAAAACACACTCAAATTGAAGTAATACATAAACTAACACAGAAAGAATTCACCATACTTTAAACAATTTCTGAATTTGAATAAATATTAAATAGGATATAAAAAGTATTAGCCAATAAACGTTTATATGGATCCATTTCGAAAAGGTGAAATCGCACGGATACATATAAAATGGATTGATTCAAATTTGAAAATAGCTTCCCAAGATTTGAAAACATTTCAAAAAGTTTCCTGTACATTCTTTATATGATATCCTGAACACATGATAAATTCCATAGTCACACGAAACAACTGACAGAACTTACGTAGTTTGATATATTAAAATAATAATAATGAGACAAACTCGTGACATTATATATATATATATACAGACAAATTCTCGTGAATCCATTTACTATTGGAAGTGTTTATTGATTAAAGAAATATTACAACAGGAACTAATGAATATGTTTAAACAAAGAAAAAGTTTAGCAAACATATCACATAATATAATTGTGCCTTGAAAAATCAAACGACTTGAGCTTATTTTAAATTACCAATCCGAGTGTTCTTCATTGAAAAGGTAAAAATTTGAAGTAAAATTGGCATCCCTGGTAGTTTATTTACAGAACTAGTTATATATTTCTTATAAGTATTGAATTTAAATACTTTATGGGAATGAAAAGCACATTCATGACATGATTGGTTTAGATAATTGCTTTAAGGATTTAATGGCAGAAATGAATAACTCTTTGTCAGTAGACGGTTGATTTGTGTTACTCGGAATTTGTGTGGATAGCTCAACTTCATGTTTGAGTATTTGTGGCAAACAAGTCCTTTTATTTACAATTTTAATGGAGTAAGACAGATACCAAGAATGGGGAGGAAAGTGATTGGATTATTTACTAGCTGCTTATACGGATCTGTAAATATCCAGTAATAAGATGCCAAGTTAGTAGATTGCTAGTTCTATTTAAATATGTATCCATCCGAATATTTGGTTCATTTAAATGGCTGATGATGTGTTTTATGTAAACCAAGATAACAACTGTACAATTGATTTATTGCTTTATGAATAAGTTTCTGATAGAAATAAAAACTAGTTCAACTTCATTTATAACATTATCTACTATGCTGGACATTCAATGAGCTCTAACAAACCCTAAAACATATTTTTGGAAAAAAGGGAGTTTTTATTGACAGTATTAAGCCTTTAAAAAGAATAAATAGATTGATACATGGTTCTTGATTAAAACCTGAAAAGGTGACACTGCGGTTAATCACTGCTAAACAGCATACACAACGTAGAACCTGACACATAAGTCCATCGGCTCAAGTTGACATTACGATAGCGAGATTAATTCGCAATATGGCAGTAATTTTCCATCATGCTAATACTTTTATAAGCCCAGCTCAAGTTATCATATTATCGAAGTATACATAACTAACCATTCCATTTTCACTTCATTATGTCATACTATAGTCGTTTTGGCATTTTAATGCACCAAACTTCCTTTAACTTCACCAGTTTAATCACTAATGCTATGAGTACTGCAATACAATGAATCCTGTCAAATAAAACTTAGCACCAATAAACAAATCCAGTCAATATGAACTAAGCCAACTCGGAGCTGATGCTGTTTCCAACAAAATGTTTCTTTACAAATCAACGGATTTTATGTTATTCTCCAGCTAAGTACTGAGTCATATATCTCTATTGTTATCAGGACTATTCAAACAACTGCTTAGCTAACCCATTTGGTAAACATTTCAAATTCTGAACAACCACTGATTAAATTGGAATTTTCACTTTGGATCGATATTTTTACTTAGTTGCGTTACATAGTAATATGATACCAACTGAGGAATGTATGAAATTATAGTAAGAATATTCTATATATTTACCTTCTCTGAGGTAAATTCAATACCATAAGTGTATGATAGTAAAAATCGAAATCGGAAAAATATTCGACAAGAACAACCTCGAACTTGATCAGTTCGAATAGATTAAAAAAGACCTGAGAAATATATATTAATATGACACTAGATGTTTCGTCTATTAGTTAAAAAATACATCACAAATGGTTGTTTATTTAAACTTATCGAAAAGGGTTAGTATTATCTGTAACCAATGTAACTAGATCCACGTGAGTATTTAAATAGATGTACACACGTTGATGATATTATATCTTTGATTTATTGTGAATATTAGTTTAGTTGAGCTGATGTGCAATCCAAAAGCAACAAAAACAATTTCAACAGACATGTGAAGTCAATCTGCCAGAATATTTTCAACTGTTACATTTAAAATCGTCCTCTAGATTAGAGGCTCTCTTACTCATCGTAACTGTTTTTATTCTACTTTTCGGTACGAACTTTTATTTTTTGATGAAATCGACAAGAAAACTGTTATTTAACAGTTTCTGGAGTTCCGTATTTTTGCATCTACACTACCCTCGGAACCGAATAATTTCACTCTGTGGTTGGGACATTTAACCATATTTGTTCTGAACTGTAAAGGTTTGAAGATAAGAAAATCGACATAACGCCCAATTCATGTATTCTTTCTAAATATATTCCTTCTTACTAACCCATTCATCTTTTTGAAGAAAACACTTAGAAAGCTATACGGTTTACATATTCTTTTTCGATGGTACATTTAATGGTGAGATGACGATTGTTAAGTGTTTAAAAGTTCTTATTTATGACACTTTTATTGCACAGAATTAGTATGGCATCTATGTGATGGCAGTAGTAATTCAAACTTATGCAGTTTGCCATGCAATTATTCATTTTCCAATTTAATTAGCAAGATATAAGCTAAAATCATAACGAGAGGATACCTTAATCTGTTTGTCTATAAAGTTCATTACTAAACACAATTTGGATGCTTATCATGCATTCCAGCATAAGTTTTCTCACTTTATTTACTAGTGTTCGCAAATCCTTTTTCCAATAGTTGTACGCATATAGAATCAATTATTTATATTAATCGGCTTATTTATAAATAACGATTTTACGTCCAGATACAAAATAGTTTGGTCTACTGAATTCATAACATATCCATACGTTTCGAAATACATCTTATAAGCTATACTTGACCGAGTCATGATGGAATAGTTCTAATAGTTCTAATGATCATTTTACTCTTGTGTGGTATTGTAAGTTAGAGATCTCAAATGACAAAACAAGAGATCAAAGAGTGAGTAGTCGATCATCTGGTTTGGATTCATTTTCGATAAAAGTAGGAGAAACAATCTACCAGGAACTAATTTATTAAAATAAGCTGGAGGGAGTGACAAGTAAAACTTACCAAAGTTGATGTAGCCACACTGATACAACCATTCTCATCCATTACGTTTGATAGATTATTATTTGTTAACAAATCAGAATAGTAATACGTCATATCATTTTCTAGTTTAGTTTGTTCTGATATCTTTTTACTATGTTCTATATAATCGTCATAAATATGTACAAGTTGACCAATCATCATGTGTAACCAGTAAAATTGACTAGGATAAGCACAAGCAACAATAGGTCCCAAGTCCACATGTAAACGTAACTGAAAGTCTGACATATTAACCAAGTTGGTGTTAGAGTTGCTAGTAGTAGTATTAATCGTTCGTGGTAGATCATCCGATTGTATATTTGAAGGTGTAGGGCTGTGTGACACATTCAATGCGGAACCAACACGTAAACTCAATCGCGCTGTATGCTCTGAACCAGATAATGTTAGAAGTTTAGCTGATGAGACAAGTGTATCAGCTGTTGGACCACATGTCTGTAAATACATAAAGAATAAAATATAAACAGTATTTTATGCAAAACGTTGAAAGCAATCACATGAAATACACAATAGTCGATGTTATTAAATATCTTAATCGATTTTTTGTCATTTTAACGAAACTAATTCAACAAACCAAGATAATTAGCCACGTAAAAATAGAAAAGATATTTTGTAATATCATTAATTCTATATGTGGTATACATACATAATGTTAGGCATATCAATTTACTACTAGATCCATATCACCATACACCCATTGAAGTTAGAAAGTTTAGATAAGGACCGCGACTTCAGAACAACTGTTTGAAGTACTTGATGTTGCACGAAACGAGTAAATAAATAGACATCCAATAATCAAATAACGAAATATATGTAAACGTTAAATATGAGAAAGTAAAGAGGTAGCGATGTTTTTAGTTTCACAAATGAGTAATGGCGTAAAACTATGGTTTAACAATGTTCAAATTATTGATCTAGAAAAATAAGAGCCTCAAGAAAACTGTTTGACAACCATGGTATGAGAAGGAAATCAATCTGACATTTTTTCAGAAAACCGACAGTAGTTGGTATCCACTGTTTTCAAACTGGAATGATGACTTACTAATCAAAGCACTGGCTAGTCAATTATTACGTTATAGATTCAAATTTTGCTCAATCTAATTCGACCGGGGCTGCCTTTAAACAAAAAATTTGCCCCAAAACGATCAGCCAGCTAGTTGCAACGCGGAATTTGATATGTATGTACATTGGCTCAAATTGCCACAACCCGTTAGCATGGTGAGATGAAGTTGTTAGGTTAAGTACCATAGTAGTAGAGCTGGGAACAGTACTAATGGAAAATATAAATTGGTGAAATAAGATAATTATGAGGAATTCAGAAGCTTAGAGTATAAGGCAAGACAAAGAATGGATGAATTTGAGCCATTGAAAACGATTTTGAGCCGTGTCATTCAGTCTCTAACGGCTGGTTGAGATAATCATGCGAAAAGATTTGAGAAATTATTAAACTTACTAGTCACTTTGGACAAAATCTTACATCACTTAGTTAGTATTAATAGTATTTTCATCAAAAGTAATCATGATCCTGAGAAAAATGATGTGATTCGATAATATTTAGTGTGACTTAATATATTAGATAAAAAACAAATGGGGATAATAAAAAAATACAGTCTTAAGGTTTGTTTGTTTGTAAAGTAGTAACTTTTTACACTATATTCACCTTGTTGGGAAGTGGAGAGCATGGAGGTTGGCTTGGATCTAGAGAACTACACAAGCTTGAACAACCTTGCACATGACCAGAAGTACTCCATAAATCCCAGAATAAATCAGCCTCTTCCAAGTGGATAATTTTATGCAACATGGTTGATAAACTTCCGGCTGGTGTAGAGGTAGAATTAGTAGATGACGATGATGATACTGAGCTATTTCCGGTAGCTGGAAAGAAAAAAGACTGCTAGAAAAATATATGTACAATCACCTCAAGAATCTAAAGGTTGGGCGCTTACCAGGGCTTAAGCCCTGGTGCCGTCGTGGATGTGCGCCGCCGAGGAGTCCCATACAGAGACGAAATAGCTGTCTAGTGTCCCCTAATTTTCAACAGTTGTCTAACTAAGGTTGGTCCTTAATGTGAAATATACTTACTTGGGTGCTGCTAACATATCGTTTAAAATGAACATCTAAGTAAGATATAGACAAATTCCCAATAGCGAAGATCTGGTAATTAGAACTAAGTTGAGCAAAATAAAAAAACAGCAACACCGTAATTGTATCCACAATCTATCTATTTTTGTCTTCAACTGCATAAAATATACAACTTCTGATTTTTATCAAAAAAGAAAGCACCAGCAGTACTAGGAGGGAATAATAACAGACGGTCATAAGCAACGTAGAATCTGCCACATATACGAATCGTTTTAAGTTGTCATGTTAGGTCAACATAGCGAGGTGAAATTATTAGGATGAACCCCAGAGTAGTAGAAGCAGGAACAATATTAGAAAATACTAGTCATAGACAGTATGACTTTCAGAAGGAAAGAATGACTTACTGGAGTAAAAAGTACTAAATAATTTTAAAACTCAAGATCTAAGGGACGACAAAGAGTAAATACTTCTGAACCATTAAGACCGATTTCGACACAAGTCATTCAACGTCTCCAACTATTGGATAGGATGATCGTGAAGAATTTAACCTGGTAGACCTTATTTGCTGACGCGGGCCAATCCAGCAATCAATGACTTGATGAAAGGATAATAACATAAATTGGGGTTAAAGTAAATGCTGATATCATTATCCAAATGTTTACTGAACAAATGTTAGGGTCCAGTAGTTGAAATTATTAAAACAATCATTTAAATAATCTTATTGAATGTCACAGTTACAGAAAAACTAGAAATATTAAAGTGTGAAAATTCAAAACAATATCATCAAACTAATAAGATATTGGTTTTCTATTAAAATTTATCAAATATCACAATTGAAAACATTCGCAGTCATCGATATATCATAGTTTATTTTTTTATTCTGACACATAACTATCTACTGATATTTATGAGTAGAATAAACTGATTTCTTCGATTTTACAAAAATATCATATATATTTTTTAGATTAGGCTATTTAGAGAGTATATAGTTCAATGGTCAATCTATTCGCAATAGAGAAATCCTCAATAATGAAAATTATAATGATAATAACAATAATACTAATTATTATAAAAACGATACGAGTCGATGATTAGTTTGAAATTCTTATTTAAAATCAGTTCTCAAGTTATCCTTTGAACCGATTGATCTAAACAACAAGTGATATTGTAAAAAAATGTATCTTAGTATCCAATCGATCTCAGAATTCGGCATTATTCAACAAATGTATAGAAAGCATATCACGATGCAGATGAAAACTATTAAAAAAACTGTATAAAGTAGCCTGCATTCTCTTACATAATAAATCGTTTTCTATTTACTAGATTTCAAAATAACTCAACAAAAGAGAAAATTGAAGAGAAAACACAACATTCTGAAATGGTGTGCTAAATAACCGTTTAGACTTAAATCATATGCGATAGTAACTACACTAGTCTTTATCATATAAATCAAAATGCTAACCCAATTAATACAATATTCATACCAAATTTACAGTACAAATACAATAAAAAGGTAGAAGTTTTAAAATCTTACGGACGTTATTGTTGCTTGAACTTTGCCACCACCATAACCATGACCAACGACCACTGCTGGATGTATTCGATGGAGTTGATTGTTGTTTTTCTTCAGTCTTATATTGATTTGAAATAGATAAATGTTTAATGGTTAAGGTTAATCCTGAGGCACGATCTATTCCAGGAAGTCTTAATTCACATTCAATACGTATACTAACATCGCGTAGAACTATAGTGGTTTGTGCAATCACTAAAAAGTGTAGTGTAGAAAAGAAAAACAATACTAGTATAATGTTCCACTAAAATAATAAAGAATGTTAGTGATACACGTACAGCATATTAATCAAGTGGTCAGTACGTTTTACCAGTACTATGGACAGAAAATGTTGGTAAGCAAATGAAATAGTTTATAAAATATATAAGGTAACATGATCAATTTTGAGAAACGTAGACCGAATATATACTTCTAGATTTTACTCACTTCCTATTACTAGTGATTTAATAGATGAAACACCGATATTCTTGTTGAATTATGAAAAGGAAGATATGAGCTTATATAATTTTGTGGTTTATGAAGTATAATTATTAGAGTTTTATATTGATGCTATTAAGATGTTATGCCCAGTTCGCAGCGATCGATAACATATGTGATGTTACCAACAAAAGGAAAAAACATTCAACTATTGGTTCGAAAGAATGTTTTACAAAAGTGAATGCATGAGTGAAGTTGTACTATTTGAGGATTCAGCTTAGTACTAATAGCCCCCAAGTGCCCTGGTACGGCCGAGGGTGGGGAGTCATCTCTCTCTCTCTCTCGAAATGCCCTCACATGGCCATGCGTGCATAGCCACTGCCTGGGAAGTCCTACTCACTGCTTTCTCGCGGCATTACTGTTGTTTACGAAAATGAGAGAACGAAAAGCGAATGTCCGGCGCTTTAACCGGGATGGTAGACATGGAGAGTCCACCTAAAGGTGTTGGTAAACCCTGATCCCAAACCAATGATGCACATGGACCCCAGGATCCTGAAGAAACAAATGGCGTATGAAAAAATTGTTGGTCACAGGCTAACATGGTAGTGCATCTCCTAACGTTGCTCCACTGCCACGTGGGTCAAACGTTTAGGTCAAACTCTTGATGTGGCCACCTAAGAAAACCACCTGCTTCGGTCTGGGTACTCAGGCAGTATCACAGCCCACACATAAATAAAGTGACCTGTGTGAATCATATGTATTCGGTGCCCCTTTTTACCAATATTTATGTGTTCAAACAAATAAATAGTACTCCAACATTGATGAATACATACATTAATTACTTGGTAATAATAATGACTTGAAATATCTCATTGTATTATTGAATAAAAATAAAGAGAATACAGCGAACAAGATTTTCTTTTCGATGAGATCATTTACTTAATCTGTACATTCGTATTTATTAATTTATGATGCAATCTTTTCCATCCTTCTATAGACATATATTTACCATACAACTATAAATAAGAATATACAACTTGAGTAAATGACTTCGTCGAAAAGAAAATTTTCTTTGCTGAATTCTCCTTATTTTTAATGAACAGTTTGAAACGGGAGAACTGTACTGTAGTAGCGAAATAACGAGAAGTAATGTGATATTACTATTTAAAAAGCATGGTGAAGAAGTTGCGTGTATGGTAGAATTAAAGAACTTAGCACATGTGATCCTTATGCACCATACCTAAAATAAAACTAGTTATTTGATAAATATTCAAATCAAAGCATATGCAGAGTGAAATTCTATCGATGAGCAAGTTTAAAAATGCAAGGACTACTGATTCACACTCACATAGTAAAACGTTAGGTAAGCTCTCGTTGCCAAGCTGACATTGTGTTTAAATAAAAGCTTTTAAACGGAGACAAGATTGGTATACATTTCAAATATAGCTTATACTTGACGCTATATTTGTCAACTATGTCCCAAACTTTCTAGTCTGAAAAATTGTAATTGGTCGAAAGACGTTAAATTTTAGCTAATAAATTCGTTTTGTAATACCATTCAATAAAATTATCAGACATTTATCGAACTACTTCGTCAATTGAGAATGAATATTAAAACACCCGAAAGCTTATTTAATTTGAGTACAGTGGTCGTCTATTATTTTGTGGGATGTTTTCAAACCTTGGTACATTAGCCAAAGTTATATGCTACGTGGTTTATGTTACTGACAGTTTCAACAATATGAGTCATAAGAACATATTAATATCACTGAGCATTTGCAGTAACAATTTCAGTAATAATGTAACTTGATAAAAACAAAAATTATTCTAGACCATTAAATATAGTTTCAGTATAGTTACTTTAAAGTTATAATCAAGCATAAAGATCATTCATTCAAAGTTAATAGTTATACTTACATGAATCGATCATATGAGCGATTCTTTGTTTACTGTCCTGATCAACGTAAGAGCTTGCACCTTTTGTACCAACATTCATTGTTTCGGCAGCAGCTGTAAGATTTTCGAAAAATTGATAAGCTTGCTCTTGTAAACTTTTTGGAATTTTTTCTTTATCATTAAGATCAACATCGTCTGATGTGCGAGTAAACGTTTCCTCGAAAAAATTGTCAGGGATCGTAGAATCCTTTGCAGCTTTGGCTACAGCAAAAGCTGCGGTTGATACACTAGATATCATTGAATTGAACAGTTCATCTGCTGAAATAAAAAAGTAAAAAATTATCAATATCACAAGATTTTAAACTATTGAACTTGATTAACAGGCTCATTGACGAAGGTATATCGACTTGTTTACTAAATGCCATGAATATGGTGTGGTACTTTGTAAAGCCTACGTTTTAGGTGTCATATTTAACTATCATGGTGTAAACGCTGAAAAAAAAATTCTGAAGTTAACACTCTCCGGGTACAAAAAGGTAGTTTAGTAAATTATATAATTAGAATAGTGAGAAAGATACTGAGAATCTAACCTTCAGCAAACTAACGGAGGTTGTAATTAATTTGAAGCGATGGAGAGTAATAAATCCAGGAAACAGACAAAAAAGAGTTTATTTTGAAGAAGAGTGACTCTGATGGGTGTAGTAAGGTGATGACCATCTGTTTGGATACAGTGGGGGCAACTATACTCAACGGTTGGAAATTTCATATGACTAAAGACTGGTTACGACAGAGCGAATTAATTCATCATTTATTTTCCTCAAAACCTTAAACATAGTATTGTCCATATTTTTCATCAAATGTTTCATTTTTCTAGCTTTCACCACTTCAGTCATTTTCTGTTCACTCTTTCCTTTCTTCCATTGCGTTATAGTTCATTTTAGCCTCTTTGAGTGATGCATATTTGTTACGTTTTACTACTTATGCGTATCTATAGTGTTATACGTTTGTGTGGACGTTCCTTTAATCGGTGCATTAGCCTAGGAAAAACCAGTAATGTTTAGAAAAGATTTACGCTATCAAGATAAGATAATGTGCTTCACAGAAAGCCGTAAACCTGGAGAAACAATTTAATTGATCAGAAAACAAAATTTTTCGAACCTGTCATATTGCTGTACAGTTATTAGTTCTAACTGTTGCCGCTTACTGGCCACTGAAAAAGCCAAAATGACTAAAATCTATGTCGAAGAGAAAGGTGTTGAGGTGGCAAAACATATAGTCGTTTGAGACATGATTAATGTTAAAAACCGCCCAGACCGAAAGAACTTGTTATTCCCACCGATTTCTTAACTGTATATTTGGTTTGCATTGCTGGAAGGTTTGTAAGCCTAGTAGAAATGATTTATCCAAATAAAATCTGTAACAAGACAGATAACAAATCGCTAGAATGAGTCAATTGGGATCGAAATTTCATTGCACAATTGCTCGAGGAACGAAACATTGCAACAACGTACTGATAATATTGCTCTTTTAGGCCGAAAATCGAGAAACTCAAATAGGCAGTATCCATTTAGAGATGTAAATGGAAACATTGAGTGAAGCGATTGAAACACACTGATGTTGCAAAAGCAAGCAATAGCCAGAAGGGATCCATATTTACTGTGAGGAGTTACGAAGAATCAACACAATACATAAACATAGCCTATATTTTCATCTTCCATGTGTTCAACAATCTGAACAGTCTTCTCAACTGGTCTCCAAGTTTTCTGCCCACGTTGTGCTTTCGCTGAACTGATCTTTTATCTATCTGATAACCGTGTCAAATTCGAAAACACGTTCCGGAACACACTACTTAGAAAAAATCTTGTGAGCAGCGTCCGCCAGAGAATAACATAGCTCAAAATCGTTTGCAATGAAACAGGTGCACTCCTTGTTTACCCCTAGAAATTGGGTCCTAAGATCTCCCTATACCGTTTTTCTTCTACACTTAATCTTATCTTTCTACTAATATTACTGATACTGTTACTACTTTTATAACACTGAGACGTCTCGAAGAAATTTCATCCTGTGATAATTTGGTGCCGAAATTCGGGACTATGCACATACGTGTCACGTCCTACGCTGAGCATAACGATGACTATTCCTCATACGACAATCAACCATACCAGGGCGTTTGGAGTCTTACCAGGGCTCCCCTTTGTACCAGTACGTATGTGTTCAAATAAATAAGTAAATTTGATTAGTTTGTTTATAAACAAAAGCCCCTCCACAAAACTTGAAATTATTGGCTACTTCTAGTCGCCCAGATCAGACGTAACTCTTGAAGTGAGAGTGAGCATTGAGATGTACTGAAAATAAACTTGTAAACTAAATTTTTAGCGCTACACTGCGGTATTCTTTGGACAGTACATTGTGACTGTTTCTAAACAATAGTTAGTTTAGGTTCAGCAAGAGTGAAAGGTAATCTTGCATAATTTCAAGTTGTGCCAAGTCAAAACTATCCAGTGGATCAGTCAGTCTGTTTCCGTAAAGTTGGGGCTTATGTTAGCGGAATCTAAATCGATTCCTGAGACAAGTACTCAGTGGTTAAAATGGAGTTAGTTTAATCAAGTTACACTTTACGTGCCACTCAATATTACTAAGAGACAAGCTTTACAAATCATCATTACGACAGAGAAATATCAATGATGAGATTTCTTATGGGACATTGAGGTATTATGTAAGCACCACTTACTTCCAGATGGAGAGGAAACTTCTGATAATGCTTGAATAACGAAGTCGATCCCCTTGATTTCGACACTCCATGGAAGGGAAATAACAACTTCAGCAATATAAGCCACACAGAAAACCACAGGTATTCCACTTTCAGATAATAATGCATTTAGTTTCTACAAAGTATATTCATAAATATAGAATATCTTACATCAATGTTAAAATATATATCTTTACATCCAATGCCGTTGGAAGTTATTATAATTTGATCATCTTCCAAAGGCTGAGATAGAAACTGTCCAAATGAGAAATTAAGGAACAACTTGACAGGCTTTTTTGCCAGTCCCCAAGGTGGCATCACATTACAAAAAACTTTTTGAAAGAGCCTCCGAAAATCACCTGATCAGAAATTCACAATGCCCTCACAAAATGTTCAATAACCAAACAACCAGTATGCTAGGTGGCCTGTGTTAGCCTTGGCGATGGCAGTCTTTCGGTCTACTCGACTATTTTTCAAAAGCGTCGACAGATGGAGCTTCAATCACTTGTTGAAGTAATGAATTCCATTCGTTGGTAAATCAATGAGAAAGTCGGTAATAAACTGACAAGTTCAAATGGTTCAAATGGTTGTGGACGGAATAGAAGAAGCTTTCGCTTAACGGGCTTCCGTATCTAGTATCAGTGGATCATCAATACCTCCAGACAGGAACCTAGGCATATTAACGATAACAGAGGAGAAAGGAATTGGTAAATCATGGTGTGATACTATTTTTAGTCCATAAGAATTTGTCAAGTTGCCTCTTAAAAGACTCCTGGGAAGTTTTTCTTGGCCAGTTCACGTTTTTACTGTACTTGTAAATTCTCCGATTTGGAAGACAAGATAAGTGGGGGTATATCAGATGCTAACTTATCACTAATTAATTTAAAATTGTGAACAAGTCGCCTCTTGTAGATGACAATGAAAATAGGTTTAGTTTAGCCAATTGAGCACCATACAGGGGTTGTGCGATTCCGATAATAGCGAAAGCTCTTTGAACTTTTTCCAACAACCTACTGACAGGGTCTAGCTCGCTGTTATTCACCTTGCATCTGTAACCTGGTGACCAATATGCACCATAAAGCTCTTGGGAGTGTTTATCGGCAACTGCCAAATTTTAGACCATCGTGTGGACTCGAAAGGAAGCATCTTTATTGTGTGCACATTTCTAAAGTAGTTTGAGAATACCTGAGCTTTATGATCTCCTCTCTTAATCCTTTGGTCACTTTTACCTGGGGATGGCATATAGTGGACGTTTGTGTCGTCATCCTCATAATGGGTCAGTATGACATCTAGTAAGGATGATTCGGAGTACAGATCAAACCTTGTTGCTTTTTTCTCATATTGCACAGGCTCACATGTGATAACCTGTGATAAATAGGAGTATTTGAATTTTTGTATGAACTAGGAATCCCAGGAACAACGCAATTGGATCAAGAAGTACTAGATAAGTACAAACAAATGTACTTTATTTGGAATTCGAAATCAAGCATTCAAGAAGTACAAAGGAATCATCAGTTCATTCAAACACCACATAACCGCATCAATTACTTTTTATTCGAAAGAAATTTCCGACAGTTCAGTCCCCAGATTGTTCCAGTTCACAGTAAGTACACTAAAGTCTCTTTATATTATACATCAATCGCTTGATGACCAAGTGTTACAACCGACTAGCAAGACCTCATTCACCCCACAGTTTGAACTGAGGTTAATCAAGTCAAACACCAGCTCTCGACCCTTGCATCTCAAGCTTCAACTGTTCAATCACACGTCCCACTTTCATAGTATATTTTATCAACTCCGCTCGGAGTCCCTCCGGCGGCTACTGCCGGTCCCAAGCCCGGATAAAGGAGGAGGGTTGGGCATGGGGTTAGCGACCCCATCCCGTAGAAAACTAACTCGCTAAAAAGCGCTAACCAGAAAAAATTATTCAAACCTTTTAAACTCTGCCCTGGGAGTCAGAAGGTAATCTTTTAGAAGAACTGTGACGCCTCATGATGAAAGCCGAGTTCCTTAGGAAGTCACGAGGCTAATGCCCCTTCTGACAACCAGAGCAACCATTTATTTAGGTACATGGAATGCTCGTACAATGTGGGAGACCGAGAGAGTCTTCCAAATTGCTGCAGAAATGAGAAGATACAACCTAGAGGTGCGTGGGATCACTGAAATACGCTGGACGCAAGTTGGACAACAACGACTAACTTCAGGAGAGCTCCTGTTATACTCTGGCCATGAAGAAGAAAATGCCCCATATACACAAGGAGTTGCATTGATGCTGTCCAAAAAAGCGCGAAATGCGCTTATAGGATGGAAATCTCATGGACCAAGGATCATTAAAGCCTCCTTCAAGACAAAGAAAGAGGGTATTTCAATGAACGTCATCCAATGCTATGCGCCTACCAACGCCTACAGTGAGGATGTTAAAGACCAATTCTACAATAGGCTGCAGTCAATCATCCAGAAGTGTCCAACAAAGGACCTGACCATTCTGATGGGAGATTTCAATGCCAAGGTTGGAACGGACAACACTGGATATGAAGACATCATGGGACGATACGGACAGGGAGAAAGGAACGAAAATGGTGAGAGATTTGCAAACCTATGTGCCTTCAATAAACTGGTCATAGGCGGCACCATATTCCCACATGAACGCATACACAAAACCACATCGACTTCACCGGATCACACCACGCAAAACCAAATCGACCATATTTGCATCAACAAAAAGTTCAGGAGGACTATAGAGGACGTGAGAACCAAGAGAGGAGCTGATATAGCATCAGACCATCACTTGCTGGTCGTCAAGATGAAATTGAAACTCTAGAATTACTGGACAACGATGCAGACAATATCTCAAAAGTTCAATACTTTTTTTCTGGATACTAACAAACTCAACAAATTCAAGATAGTCCTCAGCAATAAGTTCCAGACCTTTCATGATCCACTCAATGGAGAGGGAACTACTATGGAGAACAACTGGAAGGGGATCAAAGAGGCAATCACTTCAACATGTCATGAGGTTCTGGGCCACAAAAATCACCATCACAAGGAATGGATCACTGTTGATACATTGGATAGAAAGGAGGAACAAGTAGGCAACGATCAATACCAGCCGAACAAGAGTAGAAAAAGCCAAGGCACAAGCTGAATACACAGAGGTGAACAAGCAAGTGAACGACCAGTGAAAAGCAAGGAAGGCGAGATAATCACCAACACTGAAGAACAACGAAACAGGTGGGTAGAACACTTCAAAGAACTCTTGAATCGACCAGCTCCACTGAACCCACCCAGCATCGAAGTAGCACCCACGGACCTCCCAATCAATGTTGGTCCACCAACATTTGAAGAAATCAGCATGGCCATCAGACAAATCAAGAGTGGCAAAGCAGCAGGACCAGACAGTATTGCAGCAGATGCACTGAAAGCAGATGTAGCGGCAACTGCAAGGATACTCCACATTCTCTTCAATAAGATTTGGGATGAGGAACAAGTACCAACAGACTGGAAAGAAGGACTACTGGTCAAAATACCAAAGAAAGGCGATCTCAGCAAGTGTGATAACTACAGGGGCATCACTCTTCTCTCAATACCGGTAAAAGTTTTCAACAGGGTATTGTTAAACAGAACGAAGGACTGCGTAGACGCTCAACTTCGAGACCAACAGGCAGGATTCCGTAAGGATAGATCGTGTACAGACCAAATCGCAACTCTACGGATCATTGTGAAACAATCGATTGAATGGAATTCATCGCCCTACATCAACTTCATTGACTACGAAAAGGCATTTGATAGCGTGGACAGAACAACACTATGGAAACTTCTTCGACACTACGGCGTGCCTCAGAAGATAGTCAATATCATACAGAATTCATGCGATGGATTACACTGCAAAATCGTGCATGGAGGACAGTTGACAAAGTCGTTCGAAGTGAAGACCGGTGTTAGGAAAGGTTGCCTACTCTCACCCTTTCTCTTTCTCCTGGTGATCGACTGGATCATGAAAACATCAACATCTGAGGGTAAGCATGGAATACAGCGGACAGCTAGAATGTAGTTGGACGATCTGGACTTCTCAGATGATCTGGCTCTTCTATCGCACACGCAACAACAAGTGCAAGAGAAGACGACCAGTGTAGCACCAGCCTCAGCAGCAGTAGGTCTCAATATACACAAAGGGAAAAGCAGGATTCTCCGATACAACACAGAATGCACCAATCCAATCACAATTGACGGAGAAGATTTGGAAGATGTAAAAACCTTTACATATCTGGGTAGCATCATTGATGAACAGGGTGGAACTGATGCAGATGTGAGGGAGCGGATCGGCAAAACAAGAGCAGAATATTTACAATTGAGGAACATCTGGAACTCAAAACAACTGTCAACCAACACCAAGGTCAGGATTTTCAATACAGATGTCAAGACAGTTCTACTATATGGGGCAGAAACCTGGAGAACTACGAAATCCATCATCCAGAAAATACAGGTGTTTATTAACAGTTATCTACACAAAATACGTCGAATCCGTTGGCCGAACACTATTAGCAACAACGTACTGTGAGAGAGAACAAACCAGATTCCAGAGGAGGAAGAAATCAGGAGGAAGCGCTGGAAGTGGATAGAACACACATTGAGGAAAGCACCCAACTGCGTCACAAGACAAGCCCTCACATGGAATCCTCAAGGCCGAAGGAGAAGAGGAAGACCAAAGAACACATTACGCCGAGAAATGGAAATAGACATGAAGAAAATGAACAAGAATTGGATGGAACTAGAAAAGAAGGCCCAGGACAGAGTGGGTTGGAGAATGCTGGTCGGCGGCCTATGCTCTATCAGGAGTAACAGGCGTAAGTAAGTAAGTTTATCAACAATGGGAAATGGGATTCTGTAGTCCCTTAATAATGGGAAGCGTTTAAAATTCTGTTCCTCACTGTCTACAGACTGCATCAACCAAGTTTCTATGGCGGCGTTTACATCCGGTTTGAAGAATTATACCCGCACACCAAGCTCCGACCGCTTTTTGAGAAAGCTCCGGGTATTTGTTTAACAGACCTGTATCCACAGTGGCTTCGGCATCATTCTCTATCAAAACTTTCCCACATGAAAGTTTATAATATGAAGGTTCTTCATTTCAGCATCTAACCTTAGTTTCAGTTCATTAGGCCTCTCGTCATTATACAGCCTGAGTGCGTCAAGCCATTACGGACAAAATTCTCTTTATCCCTTTAGTTTATATCTATTCTGTAGTATTAACTCACTTTCATTAAGAGGTTCAAAAGCTACTTTTAGTGGATTATTTTGATTCTGCTTCAAGTCTATTTGGCTAGTATATAAACCTTCAGCACAGCGTTAGCCGATCTGGTAGCCTTATTATCAAT